GGTTAGCAGTCAGGATCAACTGCTGGTACGCAATCAGTTCAGCAGTTCAGCAGTGCGGTGTAGGGCAGCAGCCGTGATAACAGACATGTATGTGGTCCATGCCTCGAGCCGGGTAGTTACATGTATAATTATCGTGAACCTTGCGACGCACCTGCTTCGCGTACGGTCATCCGACTCAACGATATTTAGCTGGCTATCGTTATTCGGGCTGTGCACCAGCCGGAATGTTGGGCCGGAAGTGTGCAAGAATTTCAGGCAACCAACTTGAAAAAATCTACGAACTCCCCTCGCAAGATACGTTCTTGCACAGCCTTGGGCACAGCTGGTGCAGGTGGCTGATCGGGTGGGTTACAAGGGCTTGGCCTGGCGTAGTGGCGGCAGCAGCCGCATTGCCTTGGCCTTGGGTGAGGAGCGGCACAATGCTCCCCGATAATAATAAAATGGCGGCCGACAAAGCCGACTACACCTCGTCAAGTAGATCTACGGGAGCGCAGAGATCCGTTGAGCCCGCGTCACCTGAGCTGGCGGAGGAGGCATTGGTGCAAGTCGGGCTTCTGGGCTCGCGAGCCGTGTCCGCACTGTCATGTTGCTGGTTCTCCTGGCCGGAGCAGACCTCACTACCAAGGGCTAGTTGTGCCAGCAAACGGTCCTGTAAAATACTTTTACTAAGTTTCCTTTCGGATTCAAGCCGCGCTGAGAAGGCTCGCCGCGGGGGCTTGGCAAGGCATTGCCTTGACAGTGTCGACAGTTAGGTCAGACATACTGAAGAAATACAGTGTCGAGGTGACACTCGGGCTGGCAGCAAAGCTACGAAAGGAAAAGAAACACTGCTGAAGCACGATCCGTTGTCTGGAAGAGCACAACAGGGCAAGCAAGATTTGTTTTTCTTTTCCGCAAAATGGGCAGGTGCCATTTGTGATTACGCAGCAAAACAAAGCGCATGACGTCAGTCTTGAATGCAGTACAAAGCAATGCAGTGCAGTGTGTGCGCTAGTTCGGATTGTTGCTAACAAGTACTAGCACAGCTAGTACACCATTATTCGGTCGTGTGTGTGACAGGCGTATGATCGTGCTGTATAGAGACGATGGACTTGCCGCCGTCCGTAGTGTCTCTGCACGCGATGTTGACTTCCTCGACGTTACATTTCATTCACCAACGAGCCGATTTAGTGCGTATCGGAAGCCGATTGACACCCCCTACCCCCCCCCCCCTCTACGTGCACCGACCGTCACTCTAACCACCCCCTGTCATTCTCAAGAGTCTGCCAGTTGGGATCAATATACGTCTGTCGGACATATCATGTGACGAGGCCGCATTCTCAGAGGCGAAGAGCATTGTACAATACCGCACTGGAGGTCGGCGGCTACGCCGAGCGAGTCGAGTACTCTAAGAGAAAGAGACCAGCAGATAAAAAGAAGAAAAGATCGAGAAAATCAACATGTATGATCTGGTTCAATCCCCCTTTAGCCTGAATGTATCTACTGACGTGGCACGTTGCTTCCTGAAGGCAGTTGACAGACATTGCCCAAAGAAGTCACCATTCCACAAGATCTTCAACAGGAATAATGCCAAGGTCAGCTATTCCACAATGCCGAATATGCAGTCGATTATCCGGGGCCACAACAACCGAATCTCGAAAGAGGATAGCAATGACCAGCAGCCGGCAGAGGCCTAGTCATGCAACTGCCGAATCAAGCCAGAATGCCCCGTGCACGGGCAGCGTCTCGATAGCAGCATAGTTTACCGCGCCGATGGGAATATCGACACAGTTGATAAGGAATTCTACTATGGCCTAACCGAGAACACGTTCAAGCAACGATACAACGGCCACATCACCACATTCCGGCATGAGCTGTATGAGAAGAACACGGAGCTGTCCAAGCATGTGTGGAAGGTGAAGAGGGCAGGCAAGCCGCACCCAATTGCATGGTCCACCGCTCGATCTGCAAGGGCTTACTCCAGCTCAAGCAAGAGGTGTGATCTTTGCCTCACGGAGAAGCTCTTCATCGTCCGTGCAGACAAAGCCAGATGCCTCAACGAGCGATCTGAGCTTGTGTCGAAGTGCCGCCATGAGAACAAATATTACACTACACTGTACTTGTCAAATATTGTCACCTGATCCTAGCAGAATATCGCTTAGTTAATAATAATTATACACAGAAAACTAACACTTTCTCTCCACAGCTATAGACGTTAGGCCAGGTAACATCTCTTGTCAAGCTTTGCCACCTGATTCCACAAGAATATCACGTAACAATGAACAGATAACTCTTTCCCACACCCTCTATATCTTGCCACCTATCATATGGCAATTGTTATGCTGGGCTTGCCACATTCATGGTACATGTATTTAGCAGCACTCTCACGGCAGGGTCAGTACCAATTTTCGTCTGATGATCGATTTAGTTCGTGAAACTCAGAATTACGAAACCGCAACTGCTCGTTCTTCTGTCTGTGTATCAGAGTCCGCTCTTTGCCTTAAGCAAATTGAGCCCTCTACGGACGGTGGATGAACGACACATGGAGATAAATGGATAGGTAGATAGATAGATAGATAGATAGAGAGAGAGAGAGAGAGAGAGAGAGAGAGAGAGAGAGAGAGAGAGAGAGAGAGAGATGGAGCTAGGCGTCAGGTTGTTGAATGTTTCCATACCCTTTTTCAATATTGTGCCTTGTTGCAGCACTATCTAACTGTATAAGATGTCGTTACCTTGGTGGACTGTAGTGTTAGTCATAACACGTAACTTATTGGTCTTTTCTCTTTACATAATAAATATTGGACCAACATCCGAGTTCTAAGGAAGATGGAACGTATTTGTTGAGAAGTAGGAAGGCCTTCGAGGCAAGATGCCGTCCCATAGAGCACGAGAGGCTGACGATACACCTGACTTGATAGCTTAACAGGTACATGTATGATGATGACAGCATATCACGACCAGGTAGTTTTGTAGGGTCTTTACAACTCCCTGGTCCCAACAGAGGACGAATCGGGGGTTAAGGTAGCAGCCTGGTCCAAAATTGTATTATGGCATTCAATTGACCTTACCTTTGGTGTCTCTCAATGGATTTGAGTGAAATTTGCACCACACACTCCTGCCACTATGCTAGCCCTCTGGACATGATTTAACCGGGGCATGACTCCACGCGGTTCACAAAGTAGTCGGAGGACCGTGTTCCTGATTGCAACCTGTCTCCGGTTGCAATCAGGAACACGGGTTTCAATGCACCTGCAGCAGGTGGTACCCTGTCATCAGGATACTCCAGTACATGTACATGACTGTACATGACTGAATACCATGTACATATTGTACAGGAACTTGTCAAATAATACTAATCACCAGACAGTTAGCTGTTTAGACATTGTTAGCCTAATGTTAGGTCTCCTCAGCAGAGCTCAGAGGTGGTGGGGAGAGAGTGAAAGAGAGAGGGGCCAAGAATCAATGTCAGATTGCTCTAACTGCGATAAACACAGCGAGCTTTGCACGAGCGCATAATTATCACATTGACGCTAACGAGAAGGAGTACTCAACCAAGCCAGGACGAGGGAACGTAGTAATTTCGATGTAAGAGTCTCGTTTTCTTTGACTCTTCTGGAAGAGAGGTGTGAAAATGTGTAGTTAACCCCTAAGATGATAAGATCATGCATGTATATGATTGTACAGGGCATATGAGAGAGTTTTAACTGAGGTATTTTAGTATTTTACCACTGTCTCTCGTTCATAATATTATTCATATGGCGCATGACCGGGGCCCTGCCAATTGGGCTCTGGGTGATATGAGCAATACATAACCCTGTCCCGCCCAATCCACATTGATTAATTGATTGATTGATTTTATTTCACGGATCCTCCAGGGGCAAATAGATGCCTATCGAAGGGATTCTCCTAAATAAGTATGGAAAATGAGAAAGTATGTTCGTAAGGGAGAAGAGGTAGAAGATGCATTAGAATATAGAGCACAAAAGAAGTAAATTCAGTACTTCAGGTAGTACATTGCATGCTAATCATAATGAGAATTAGAAAAGCAACTTTGCGGACTACTATAACTGACATATACTACACAAACTATTGAAACTATCATACAAGAAAAGGCGCAGCTTTGAGAATCCGTCTCCTATACAAACAAGGTGTACACCACACGGAATATATCAGAATGCAATCGACTCCACTTGTAGCGAACTCGCACGTAGCGAATTTCGTGATTATAGCGAATCAGAGTCCACGTCCCTGTTTAAACGGCTTAACCCTTACAAACAAATTGATCCTTTATAGTATATCGAATAATTTTCGTTGATAAGGAACCACCACAATCTCTTCATCTTGTGGGGCGGCATGCTAACTACATTGCCCGTCCGCCAGTGCAATGTCTCACATATTAAACCAATCATACTGTCATGAACTACATGCTGTGTTGCTTGCATGGTGTGAGTGCATTTCGGTTATAAAGAACCTGGCCTATAGAGAAGTAATTCTCCTGTACAATGGTGTTGGTTATATCAGGATTTGACTTTGCTATGGTCAAAACAGTACTATCTATACAGTATGGATGCTGTTCACGTTATGAGGTCACCGCTATACACAGGATACTGCATTAATGGAAGAAAACATTACAAACACTGGTACCTTGCACGTTATTTTCAACACAATCAACACGCACCCCCCCCCCCCAAAACACAAACACACACCTTTGACTTTTCGACGTCCATCGCTGGAGGTGATGGTAGCGATGCTACGGCAGAAGCAATAGCAACTTGTGCGAAGATTGCATGATTCAACAGCTTGCAATGCTGAAGAATTGACCGCAACTATTCAGCCTCAGTGATCCACACAACACAGCTATGAAGTGGGTTTTTGTAGCCACACACACACAAAAACATGCACGCCTGCTTGCACACTCGCGCACGCACGCACGCATGCACAAGCGCGCGCGCACGCACGCATATACACATACACAAGCACCATGATTGTACCATGTGCACCAACCACGTGAGTCGACAGAATCAGTACAAGGAAAACGTGATCTCGATGTGAACAATTCAAACTAACTGTTGCATAGATATCCTAATCATATGATTAATCTGCGAGAAAACTATCCAACAAGTAAAATTAAAAAAATTCAGAACTATTACAGCCTACATATAATGTATAATGAGCTCAGATGGAGAGCCAAGGATTAAAATGAAAAAGAAGGGACCAATGCAAAAATATATCCACCACTGGACACAAATAGTATTCTAGCAATTGCAAACATTCTTTTCTGAGATAACCGGGTGAATAAACACCGGGAACCAGAAGCTACCTAAGAATAACTGGTGTGGAATAACTGTTGCGGCATCTACCTAATCCATTAAAGAAATCGAAGTATTGTGGTATAAAATACATGAGATTTGTTCAGCTCATGTGAGAGTGCTGTAAGATAGAACACGTCACCAAGCAAGGCGGCGGATGAGTGGGGGAAAGCAATATTCTCAACAAGAAGTGTAGAAAAGACAACTGGAAATTATTTTAGTATGTACAACTAAGGGGTTGTGTGTGTGTGTGTGTGTTGGGGGGGGGGGGGGTGGTGGTAGTAGGACGGGATACGAGAACAGTTTGTACCACGCTATGGTCATTTATTTTATGATGAATACAAAAGTGTGAGCAGGTAACTGATGACAGATGTCTAACAAGAAAACTTCAAAACACGAAAATCTTGTAATTACGGAAAGAGGAAACAGCTACTAAGCCCTCACTTGTCACGCAGACACCTGTCGGCCGGTCCAGCTCTCCTTTTCCAAACTCAGCCAGTGGTGTATAAGTTTCTGCTTCATACACCTGCAGAGAACATGGACAACACTGGTGAGCGTACAGGAATAACATGCATTATAGATGGTTGATGCATGGTGCATGCATGATGCACGTGTAGTATCCCTGCCTGGCTAATACGGAAGTAATACGGAAGTAATACGGAACTTTACATGGTGTATATTTAGTGTATCTCCGTATGTAAGCGTACGGCGTCTGTTGCATAAAAGCTGCAGCGCATTTCTGATTTCATGATATTTTATAGCAACGACAAAGCCGAGAAGAAGAAGTATTCAACCTCCAGGTGTGCACCGGAGAGAAAGTTCTATTTATTTGCCGCTTCTTTTACTTATAATATATCCCAGGTGTGTACCTGAGAGAATAATAATAAAAGCTAACTCGTGTTGATTGCACCGCGCCTCCGCTCAGCTACCTATTACACATGGTGATGCATGGATGATGTAAGAATGATGTAAGAATGATGTATGAATGATGTATGAATGATGTATGAATGATGTATGTATGATGTATGAATGATGTATGGATGATGTAAAAATGATGTAAAAATGATGTATGGATGATGTATGGATGATGTATGGATGATGTATGAATGATGTATGGATGATGTATGAATGATGTAAAAATGATGTATGGATGATGTATGGATGATGTATGGATGATGTATGAATGATGTAAGAATGATGTAAGAATGATGTATGGATGATATAATTATGGATGATGTATGAATGATGTATGGATGATGTATGGATGATGTATGAATGATGTAAGAATGATGTATGGATGATGTAAGAATAATGTAAGAATGATGTAAGAATGATGTATGAATGATGTATGAATGATGTATGGATGATGTATGGATGATGTATGAATGATTTATGAATGATGTATGGATGATGTATGAATGATGTATGAATGATGTATGGATGATGTATGAATGATGTAAGAATGATGTATGGATGATGAATGAATGATGTATGGATGATGTATGGATGATGTATGAATGATGTATGAATGATGTATGAATGATGTAAGAATGATGTATAGATGATATATGGATGATGTATGAATGATGTATGGATGATGTATGAATGATGTATGAATGATGTATGGGTGATGTATGAATGATGTATGAATGATGTATGGATGATGTATGAATGATGTATGGATGATGTATGAATGATGTAAGAATGATGTATGGATGATATATGGATGATGTATGAATGATGTATGAATGATGTATGGGTGAGCCATGAATGATGCATGGCGGGTGCATGAATCTGTCCCAGGGGAAAATCGTGGAAAAAATCCCCGAATTTGTGGTGTAATTTGCGGGCAAATATGGCATAATTTGCGGTGAATTGGCGGTATATATGCGGTAAATATGCGGTGAATATTATTGCTATGCGGCTAGTTTTCAGTTGATACGAGGCATTTTTAAGTGAGTACGTAGTGAAATCAATCAGTTACAAGTCTCTGGTGTAAGAACTCATCATATTTGAGTACTAAGCCACCACGATGACACGTTGCTGACCGAACAGTGCACTGTGTGTACGTGTAGTGCAACAAAAAAGCACAAAAACGGCGGAAATCGCGGAAAACGCGGTCTTTAAAAAATCGCAAAATGCGGGAAAAAACGCGGCCGCGGAATCGCAATTTTTCCCGGGGACAGATGAATGATTCGCAATTCATGTATGGATGATGGTATCATGGAAGATATGGGTGAGCATGGTTAAGCCACATTGGAGTAGCAGCCACACTGGAATATAAGCCACACTGGAGTATAAGCCACACTGGAGTATAAGCCACACTGGAGTATAAGCTGCACTGGAGTATAAGCTGCACTGGAGTAAAAGCCACACTGGAGTATAAGCCACACTGGAGTATAAGCCACACTGGAGTATAAGTAACACTGGAGTATAAGCCACATTGGAGTAAAAGCCACACTGGAGTATAAGCCACACCAGAGTATAAGCCGCACTGGAATAAAAAGCCCTATCTGAACGATTTGAATGGTTTGGCACCAAATAGAGACATCTTTCCCATTTACCACTGCTGATTTAACCATCGTAGTATGCCACACCGGCTTCTCTTCGGATGTATTACTGCTGTCTAAAGTGCGGCTTATACATGTCGCGAAATGACTTGGATTTGTTCTTTTATTCGTCGCGATATATCACCAGGCAAAGAGAACAAGAGTTGAAATACCATTCGGATTGGCAAGAAGAAGAAGAACCCAAAAATCCATTTGTCCAAACCGTTCCTCGTCCAATATCACTTAAAAGCCAGCGAAGAACCAAACTCACGTGGCAATATTCACCGCGTTCAAGAAATCGGATCAAATACGTGTTACAAGTGAAACCGCAGTGATTCACCGGCACAAATACATGGTGGGCACAGAACAGAAAAACAATATTCATGACTCAGACTGATGTCATGACAATACTCCAGAAAATAAGGTATATGCAATAGGTGTGTAAACCACTTTGCTACTTCTGAAGTATGTTTTCATTCATTGAAAGATGAATAGCCGTCAAACCAGCACCATGGAGACAATTTCGGTCAGGGATTCAGTAACTTTACCTCAAACAACGTCCTTTTACATCGCCGTAAACTGAATCCGCCACAACATGGCACGTATATTATATTAGGCATTTCTCTAAATGTTAACATGCAAGCCAAGCATACAGTAAGAACACAGCTACAGTACGTCCCGGACTTGGTTGTAGCATTGATGTGTGTCCACTGTATTCCTTGCTCTGTTCTCCAGACATTCAGCACTGCACACAGTCTGAGTATGCATGGACACTAGGTAAACCCTAAAGCATATGTGCCAGAGGTACCATTTTGGAAATCATGCTAGTACTAGTATTCATTGCAAGCTTACATGTGAGACACACTTTTATACAAGAAAGTAGTGTAAGAGTAGAATGTACCCTTGTTTTTTGAACTGTAAGAGCTAATGTACTCTTGCTTTACTTGTACTCTGTGCATGCAGTGTACATCACTTTCTGTGTTCATATCAGTGTTGTCTGATGATTGTACTGACCATGAATCACAGACTAGCAACAAACTGACCATGCTCCACTGTTGTATATGTACTGGGTACTACTCTCTGCCTGTAGGTATTTAGAAAGAAGAACACGACAACCAGCTCTCCCTTACCATAACACGTCCATTGCCACGATCTGTGACTAGCACATTGCCGTAGGCATCTGTAGTGACATCATACGGTTCCTGCAGCTGACCAAAAGCGCTGCCCCGAGAACCGAACGAAGTGATATACTCTCCATCGACGGTCATCACCTATTGCAGGAATAAAAAAATTGAACATTCACACACACCACTGTGGTGACAGCAAGAGTATAGATATAACAGGAGTGTAAGAATAATACTCCAACACACAGTGCATAGCTACTATCATTATGACTGTAGTGATGATAAGGTTACTGGTGTGCAACTGTAAAAATTCAAAACCTGAGGTAAAACATGGACCTGGCACCAACATTTGATTACTATGTATGTATTTATTGTAGCACAGACACTGTTTGGCTTGTGACATGATGTATAGACATGATGTTTAAGAGTCTAACTTCACATCAGCCTATACACTCTTACACTGAAAAGGACAAGTAACAGGTGAACATGGCCAACAAGCACTTGCCTAACGTACACATTCATTTCTGATTGGATGAGTATTTTCCTGCCCGACCCTGTCCAGTGTATATTCCGATAGATGGGTTGTCAATACCAGTAAAGTCTCATGCACACTAGACATGCAAAAAAGAAACAATTATATTTCCAGATCTACATGTAGATATTGCAATTTCAGTGGATATAATTGAAGAAGGTGGCTACTCCAAATTTTGGATCTCGGCTCTTGCCAGAGAGCAACACATTTTGCAGTGCTCTCAGAGCACAGATTACAGTAACGTTCTGAAGCTCAGCTGATACAGGGGGAATTCCCCAGAACACTGCATATAGCAGAGGGTGGCATTTTTTGCAGATTTTCTGAGTCAAACCTTCCACTTGCTGATCATGGGCTCTAGACGGCAGTCATGAGTCAGTCAAGTGTCAAGTCAATCAGAATGAAGTGTAAGCACCAAAGTTTGGAACAACCACCTACAAATACCTGTCCCAACGATAATTATGAAGCTGAACTCGCTACTGCTTCCATTGCTGCTGCTGCTGTAGTAGATTACGTAGTAGTAGTAGTAGTAGTAGTAGTAGTTGTTGTTGTCGTTGTCGTTGTCGTTGTCGCTGTCGCTGTCGTTGTCGCTGTCGTTGTCGTTGTTGTTGTTGTTGTCGCTGTCGTCTCTATCGTCCTCATCGTTGTTGCCGTCGTTGTCATTGTAGTTGTTGTCGTATTCGGCATCATTGTTGACGTTGTTGCCAGATTAACATGATAACATACCTGGATGCGATGGTTGTCCTCGTCTGCAATTAACAACCTGTTGTGGTACACTGTGATGCCTCTTGGATATTGAAATTGGCCTTGACCTCTACCTCTTTTTCCAAACGCATATCTTGTCTCACCACTGCATGGCACAACCTGTACAGTACCAGTGTACATAGAAGAATATACACCTGTGAGTTGTTGTCTGATGATCGATTAAAACCGTGAAACTCGGAGTTACAGCAGAAACGCTTTTGATTCCTCTCAAGTGTGTGTGTGTTAACCTGTGACATATGTAATTCATTTGCACACAACTTATAACTAGATTTGGTGGTTGGGCTGTGACAGAGCTTTATGAAGACTTTCTAAAACACAAACATGTAGTGATGTACCGGTATGCAAATGGAACCCACATGCATATTCATACATACACGCACTCACGCACACACGCACACAAACGCACACGCACACACACACACACACACATATACACACACCAATGCTTGCACATACACGCACACACTACACTACACACACACACACACACTACACACGCACACACACACACATGCACACACACACACACGCTCGCACATACACACAGTGCACACCCACACACACAATCGTGTACACACCCTGAAGCCCCCACACACAAACACAAGCCAAATGGACCCGCCCACCCACACTCAAACGGCTCCACCCACCCACGTCACACCAATGCCCTCAACCTGCATACCAATGAGCTTGTCCTTTTACGTGCTCATTTCCAAAGCTTGAAGGGCAAGGGATTCAAAGGCATCTTCAGATGATGGATGATGGATTGGCGATCGATCCATCCAACGGCAGATAACTTATACTGAAATCGACTAACTCTGGATTGACTTCGGGAAATTATTCCACTTAGAGGCTCACCACACATGTGTGAGTGGTTTAGGACATGGTGCAGAAAAGGGTTTAACAGCACTTACCCCCCCCCCCCCCCCCCCAGTGAACGTAATACTGTAATACATGTATAGTAGATGGCAACACACGCAGTCACAATCTGGCTTCAGAGTACCCACCAACAGAACTAGCTGACACACCCATCAAACATGCACTCACCCTCCACCCCACCCCCTCCCAACACATACACACATACATGCATGCTTGCGAATGCATAATTATGTTACAATCGACTTCCACTAAAATTATCAACTGGGATTGTACTGTGTTAAGAGTATATGATTGATCTGCTGTTACATGATTGAAAACAGTCCCACAACTTGATGCTGAACAGTGATATAGGCTAGTTCTATCTTTATGTATACCACAGTACACTGTTAGTGGGTAGGAGAGGGATTTTACACAATACAACTGTACATGTACAGTGTGTACTGTCTGGTTATTACCTGAACCCGATGGTTCCCTGTATCAGTCACAGCAAGGCACTGGCCCAGTGCGCTGTGGTTTACTTGGACAACACCATATGGGTGTTGGAACTCGCCAATTCCTGATCCATGCCTTCCTATGGTGCTGAACTCTGAGAAGTCCTTGTCAGTGATCTGCAGAGGGGGCATGGAGATGGACAGGAGAAATCAAGATGATTTAGAAATGGCAAAATTAATAACTTCATCAAATTCTTTGTACCAGTTTTCGAGGAGACAAAAGTATAATCAACGCTATAAGCAGTATTAGTGCCAGAGACATTACCATGCAAGTAAACGCGTTAAGAGTTAAAAAGGGTGTGTAATTCCAGAATAGATTTTCTGCTGCGGTCATCACTTGATTTTATGGAAATAAGGGTACAAAGCGGTGAACGAGAGATCTTGGAAGCTCAGGGCCCTACTCTGCTTTTTGCCTTGATGACCTAGGCAAAAAAAAGCATAGGGATGTTATAAATTTTTCATTTCTCCTGTTTTTTCAAGACATACCTGGGATTCGAACCCGCACTATCGTCCTGCATGTATCCCCCGATACACTTCGCATACATACTAATTCTTCCAAGTTGCTTCACGTTATGATCTGGCATTTGAAAGCCCTATTTGAATATTGTGGCCCGGTGCGTAGATCCCGTTGAACTTGTGCTACTACAGTACAACGCCGACTACAAAAATATTCCCCTGTTATTTTGCACAGAACCGTCATATACATTAGCAGCATAAATTATGTGAGCATAATGTGGCATAATACATGTATGATAACTTTTAGCATAAAAATAGCATAATTCTGCAATTTTTCAGCTATGCGAAAAGCATAATTTCACGAAAATATTAGCATAATCCTTCAGGGCCTATCTGGAGGAGCGACACATTTCTACCTCCTTGCAATGTGGCTCAATCCTGTGTTCTACCTGTTATCTGCTCTATAAGCTTTTCATCGCTTTTGGTCATGAAATGTCACAAGTTGGCAGCGTGTGTGGTTCTATGTAAACTTGAGAGGGAATACATGCATGCAGGTATGTGCACGTTTTTGAGTGTTTATTCTGTGGGTGGGTGGTTGAGCGTGTGTGGGTGTATGTGCAAGTGTGTGTTTCGGTGTAAACATGTGTGGGCCAATGTATGAAGAGGAGAGAGAGTGTGTGAAATAACAGTGGTGCTGCACAACAAATACAGGTTTTGCTTGCAACATGAGCCATTAGTTAGTAAGTGCTCATCATTGCAGCAAGAAAACCATTTCAATAAAATTGTATTACAAAGAGGTATTTACTTCTGCATGGGTTATAATGTGGGTATCCAATGACAACATAGTTTGTGTAAAATGTACATGTATGTGTAATTGTATGTTGTTGATTACTCAGGGGTCGTCTGTAAACACATGTATTTACTTAGAGACGTCTAACAGGCGTTTGTGGTGGGTTCGCCTGCAAGGCGTTTCTAAAAAATACATTTCTGAGTGCATGCATACCATACCGCGTGTGTACATGTACATGATGTACTATACTGTAGTGGATATGGAAATCCGGTCACACGTCTAGCGGCCCCAGGGCGCTGGCCATGCAGCCGTGGGCAAGCAGACCACACATGCGCTGGAACGCGCTGGTCGCATCGGAACAACATGACTGTGCTGTGTTCTGTACTCACTGAGGGTGCCGGCCCCGGTTAATCGACTGGATTTCCATGTCCACGACAG